ATGGTAGTAAAACTTCAGTGACAAATAGAAACAAGTTACGCTATTTAGATGTATTAACTCAATATCGACTAGCAGCTAGTGTTAAAGATGAATTAGAAGCCTTTTTAAAAGGATTAAATGAATTAATACCTGATAATTTACTCAGTATTTTTGATGAGAATGAATTAGAGGTAAGTGGGTAGAACTCTAGTCATGATTTATAATGCATATAGTTTTTTTCATGCTATACATGTTTTAATAGGCTTTAAACTGTTATAGAAATTGATTAAATGTTGAAGTCTTTCAACCATATAATTTCTTTCATTAATAGAATTTTAGCTTTTATATCATCATTAATCATTGAAATTGTATTGGTGCATTTGCAAAGCCAAAAGGTATTTTTTCAAAAGTTGCATTATTAAAAATATACATGGTTTATTTGAGAAGCCACAGGGCATACATACAGAATCTTTTCAAATGATTAAATGTTTGTTATTTTCAGTTGTTAATGTGTGGTACAGATAATTATAGTATAGCTGATTTTAAAATACATCACACTGTCTGTGGCACATCTCCGCAATTCAGTAAAGTAAGTTAAACTATTGCAGATTTGTTATTACAGTGAACGCTTAAGACCCCCAGATCCATTCATTTGATTTGACATTTTTTATTTATTTCATGCAATGTCTGTTTAGTTTGTTTTGTCCACAAGTATGTCTTATCGGTTTTGGTTTGCACATAGTGTTCAAAATTCAGCAGCTCGCCTCCTCACTAGAAGAAGTAATCATCAAAACATTTCCCATATATTACAAACCCTACATTGGCTACCAATTCAGACAAGAATTAAGTTCAATTACTCATTGTTCTTTAAAGCGTTACACGACCAAACTCCATCTTATATAAAAGGTCTTGTTGAACCCTATACTACCAGCAAAAGTCTACGTTCTCAAATCTCTAAAATCTCCAATTATTACCTTACAACTTGGAAAGCGTGCCTTTTCGTATGCTTGATCTTTTATATGGAATAAATTTACAAAGTCAATGAAATAAACAACAGCACCTTAGAAACTGTTCTTCAATATTAACATGCTTATAAATGACAATAGTATTATTATGATTAATCTCCTGCACTTATTAATAGTAATGATAATTCATAACGTCATTTTAATTAATTAAAATGTCAAACAGTTAAAGAAGAAAATATACAACATTTGATTTGATTGACCATGTTTTGTTTTTTTTTATTTCAGATGTTGGATTGGTTCTGGACAATTGTAGCAGGTTTTACAGATGAACAAATGGCCAGATTATTACAATTTATTACTGGATGTTCACAGCTACCTGTTGGAGGATTCTCAGAACTTCAACCTAAAATACAACTCAGTTCTACTCCAATGTTTAATGGCTTACCCTCTGCACATACTTGGTACTTTCAATTTTTTATTCTTTTTTCACCAAATTTATTTTTACGAATATTCATCTTATTTTATTTAGGTCATCATCCAAAATGTACAAATCTCAATTTAAAGCGACAATAAGCTCTGGGTTTCGATCCAGTTGTTGACCAAGAAAGTTCCCGGCATTTCCTGCATGGTTCCTCCTAGTCAGGAGGGTCTGGCAAGGACAGCGTCTGGTCGATAAGATTGGACGAAAAACTGAGGCCCTGTGTACACATTGGTGTGCATGTAAAAGAACCTTCGATAGTTGGAATTGGAAAGCACACTGTATGGCGTATACCTGTCTTCATTAGTCTAGTCGGCTGTAAAACACCCATTTTATTTCAAAATAAAGGAAATGAAATGAAATGGGTGTTTAACGTCCTACTGATCTGCTCCGACTGGGCTAATTAAGAGAGGCGTACGCCATACAGTGTGTTATGTGGAAAATTTTGCCCAGGCGGCGGCACTATGGCTTACTCTTATATAAAATTCCAACTGCCAAGGGATCTTTTACGTGCACATGTGACCTTGGTTTTTCAACTCAACCAAACGACTAAATAGCTGTCCTTGTCAGGCCCTCCATCTTCCACCACTGACAAGGGAAACCACGTTGGTAAACCATTTCATTTCATTTCTTTGAATTCTTTTATTTTATTTTTCAGTTTTAATCAACTCTGTTTACCGTTTTATGACAGTATCGAACAATTTCATCATTCTCTGTTACTAGCAGTAAACGAAGGAAGTCAGGGATTCGGGATGGTGTGATAGAGGGGACCCTACTGATAGATAGGGTAGTAAGACCTTGAACTGACAAAAGAGAGAGTTGGATAGGGTGGAATAATTAACCATAATATGATCGTAATTGGTCAATTGACGGAATTGGACGTTGTGTAGTATTTTTTAATAGATTTTAATAAATAACTGTGATAACTGTATTTAAGATGATTACAATATTTTAAAATTTAAATAAGATCAAAAGTCTTTAAGAGCAATAGAACTTTATGGAATGAATGAGGATGAATGGATTTATGAAACTATTGTGCAGTTTGTAGATAGACCAAGGAATATGGTATGAGAAACCAGCTAGATTAAAGTAGAGATTTGACAATGGTGATGATATTTTGGATAAAATGCTTATGTTATGGAGTATGATGTATTTAAATGTAAGGAAACGATTTGTGCAATTCAAGAAACGATCTTAGAGGTATATATTAAGTGAAAATGTAGAGTACATTCTTTTATCTTAGCCGTGTGAAACTATGTGGACTGAAATGGACTTTATCAAGATTTTTTGAATTGTGTCAAGCAGATGAAAGCCATGAATAAGAAATACATTTGTTTAAAGCATTTGGATGTGTTTGAAGCGTTGGGATGAGTTTGTACACTGGGATGTGTTTGAAGCATTTGGATGTGTTTGAGACGCCGGGATGTGTTTGAAGTGTTGGGATGTGTTTGAACTGCACATGAAGTGTTGTGATGTGTTTGAGACGCTGGGATGTGTTTGAACTGCAAATGGAGTGTTGGGGATGTATTTGAACTCCTGCATATAAAGTGTTGGGATGTGTTTGAACTGCAAATGGAGTGTGGTGATGCATTTGAACTACTGCACACGGAGTGATGGAATGTATTTGAACTACTGCACATGGAGTGATGGAATGTATTTGATCTACTGCACATGAATTGTTGGGATTTATTTGAACTACTTTACATGAAGTATCGGTATGTGTATCAACTGCTGTGAAAATATTAGATTAATTTAAATGGAACATACACTGTAGTAGGCCAACCATCGATCATCGATAATAAAATTCGAAGGCCATGAATACAAAAGGACAAATTGGTGTAAATAATATGTAAGCATGTTCTGCCTCATGTACAGGTACCACCATCAAATGTTATCTGGATCTCTTCCTATTCTGGTTCCTAAAAGACAGATATTTGTTATTCAGCTTGTGTGATCTCAGTAACTGCATTCTTCACCTTCAATCTGTCATTTCTCGGAATAAATTCTAATGGGTCTCTTTCAGAGAGAGAGAGAGAGAAATGTGGTTTTACGTCCACTCGATACAAACTAGGTCATTTCGGGACTATCATATGTATTTTAAATTTTATTTCAATAATTCGCTTGCGCGTAGGGGTCTTTAGCAGTGTTAAGAAACCGCAACACCCGTAGAAAACCCACGAGGTTGGACAGGCGACCCTACTCCTTGTCACATACAACAGGCGATTCGAAACCATGCCAGTTGACTCAATGACAGACCTTATGATACAGCACTCACGCATGTGCTAACCATACGGCCGTCCAACCCCCCCAGGTCTCTTTCAGAAATATCAAATTGTAACTAAATTAATTAAGATTGTTTTTGTGAAGACTAACTGTGGAGTCACATTGTGTGCTTTGGGCTGCAGTAAATGTACATAATTGTTAATGCATTCAGGTTGCATCTCCTAATTTTTATTTTAAAATTGAATTCATATTTTCATAATTTTTAAATGATTCTGTACTATGATTCTATCATGATAACTTCACTGTGATATGTACATGTAATAGTTAATTAATAAAATTAAAATTAACGCCAATAAATGTCAACCAGTTATGTGAAGAATCTTCACATCTTTGTCTTCATTAGCCCAGTCGGTGAAGAACAGAGTTAGTTTTATAATTATAGTATTATATGAAATATCAAACCAAAGATTATCTGTTTATTGTTTACAAATAGTGTCTTGAAATTAAATGAAGAGCCCCAGGGAAGAAAGATCTAAGTCACTATTTCAACGAACCCCAGTTAATGGTGCCACCTGGTAGCAAATTGTATAAGCTTTCTGTGGAACAATCAATTTCGAACAATCAAACCCATACAAATCACATCAAACCAAGGCCCTTCTGAAATGGCCTCCCGGACAAATACGTCCATCGTACCCTTTATTTGACCTTAATTTGGCTGAAACGTGGAAGTCAGTTGCTTTACTGGTAATTATGATTCGTATTAATGATCATTTTGAAGTTGTAATTAAACCCACTTATTGTTCTGTTCGCGTCAAGCATTCTCTTCCAAAAGTCTGTTTTGCCTTTTATGCGAAAAGACAAAAATGTGACTTAGATCGTTCTTCCCCAGGACTCTTCAAATGTGTGTACAGTATAAAACCACAACTTCTGTATTTTATATTTGAAATCTGGTCTATCAACACAAAAATATATATTTCACTTAACATTTTATATCTATATGTATTTAAAGACACATTATGGGAGATCAAAAAAAGAGCTGACAGTTCTCACTATAATAGTTGAAAACTAGATAATGTAAAGGCAATTAGCTGAAAATTTCAGTCAAATTGATCAACTCTGGACCGAGAATTTAGTGATTGAATTTTGGGTCTAGCCTCGTTCATCATCACTAAAGTCGTTACGATCAAACCGTAGTCTCGGTTATCCATTTTAGCGATGACATCAAGAGTTGATTATGGTCTGGATAAGTTAATTAATGTCTAATTAATAATTTAGATAAGCAATTTCCAGATTGAGCTCTTGCATAATGTATGTTTAAATAATGAAATCTCATTATTACAATGTTACAATATTCTGCATGAAAAATTACTGCATTTACAAAGAGAAACGTTACAATTTTAAATAGTGCCTTTATTTTATTTTAAATTCAAATATTTTTTATATAATTTGTCATAAAGAAAAGCACATCTTTTTTTTTAATATTTGAGCTCCAATGTCTTTTTTTAGGATTTTCTAATTTAAATTGCCGATTCAGTGGAATAGAAAGACGTATGTATGTGTATTTTTTTTTTGAATGCTCAACAATTTCTTAAATTTATCAAAATATGGAAAGAAATTAATAATTATAATTTTGAAAGAATTTTCACAGTCCAGTGTTTGCTTTCAATATTAAAAAAATCTTGTATTATTAGTATGACCCCTTGACTACCAAAGTGGTTTTGAAGGAAGGGAGATAATCCCTGTTACTGTACTACATGGACTCAGACAAGTAATCCTCTCCTCAATGTTAAATCAAGTTTCAGTATTTAATAATAACATGGATGATTATTTTTAAAAAATATTGAGAAATGTCATAGAATAAATTAATCCATGAAAGGTCACCGGAAAAGCTTCAAATTATTTTTAAATAATGCAAGTAATTATGTCAACATATCCTTTCAATAAGTATAACATGATCCCGAATGTCCTTGTTACATGTACCTGCAACTGGTAAATTACAACGTCAGTAATTTCCGCCGTTCTCTGTGGGTACTCGTAACTTTCCGTCAATAAACAATCTGGGGCATCATTTTAGTCCTTCTGCTCATATTCTAGTCTAAAATGACTAAAATGACTCACGGTTTGTGTATTGGTGGAAAGTTACAATTTCTCACGGAGAACGACAGAAATTACTAACATTGAAACTTAACTGTTGCAGGTAATATTGACATTCGGGTTCGTGTTATACTTATGGAAAGGATATGTTGACAGAATTACTTGCATTATTTAAAAAATTTATGTAAAGTGATTGGAATAATTTTATTGATTAATATTAAGATGTAAATATACTTGTTAAATTCTATGTTTTTATTTATTTATATTTATTTTTATTAATTTATTGTTGACTTATGTTAAATTAAATGCACCATGCCTGAGCTAGTTGACAAGTGTGTTATAAAATAGAACAATAGGACAACTATCATATGATGTATTTGCTCAGATAAATATCAGTGGGTCGGAATTCGAGTCCTGCCATTCAGTCGAATCGATCACCCGACTTGCGACCTGGCTTGAAATATATATCGTGACTCTGACTCGGCAGTTATGACAACTCACGACTTGAAACAGCGACAGCCTTGAGTCGCCATGAGGGGACATAACTCTGACTTGCCTTATTCGTCCTGCATTGCTGACTCATTTGATCAACTGGCAACTTGAACGGGACATGTGCGTTGAGCAGACTTGAGATTCGACTTGTATTAAAGCTAGCAACTTGGGACTTGACTTGGACTTGAGGACCTGCGATTTGTTCCCACCTCAGAAATATCATAAAATAGGACTATTGTCATACAAATGTATTAGGTCAAGCCATTGTAATAAACTAACAAATATATAAATCATCGTAATATAAATTTAACTGAGCAAATCGACTCGCATGTCCGTGGTACAGTTGATCTGATTAAAATACAGATCTGTTTTGCGTTTCGTTTTTTTATACTTTCCATAGCCTATACTACATGAAAATCTGACCAATTGTACTGGGAGGTTGCATCAGGGGTCATAGGAGCGGCTTTTGACCCTATGACGTCAAACATTGATCAATCAATCAGCGTTGACGTTTCTAGGGGTTTAACCACAGTTCCATGAAGAGCACGCCAAGAACTTGTCGTAACAGACCGTTACATCAACTAAAACGCCTGTTATAAAACAACTCTTCCAGATCCTAGTGTTGTGAAGACAAGTAAAAAACAAAATTTTGAACTATAAAAAAAATGAAACGAAATATGATCTGTGTTTTAATGAGATTGTGGTACAGTTGATATCATTGGTTTACGAACAGAACTTATATCAATCAAAATATATAACATAAATGGGAGATGCTAATTTTAGGCCGGTTGGGGAGGTTCGGGAATTTCCGGAGCCCAAAATGGCGCTTTTTATAAATGAGTATTTTGGGGAATACTAACCCGAATCCTAACCCTAACCCTTTTAAGAAGGGTAAACGTTAAATTAGATCCAAGTTCAGTCTTCTAAAAAGGGTTAGGGTTCGGGTTAGTATTCCCCAAAATACTCATTTATATAAAGCGGCCATTTTGGATTCCGGAAACACCCGAACCTCACCAACCGGCCTACAATTAGCATCCCCCAACATAAATATACCTGTGTACAAATATATATATATAAGCCTTAATTACTCTCAGTATATCATACCTGTTAATTTCTCAAATCTTAAACAGATCTCCCACGTTTTGTAAATTGGTTAATTATTACAAGTTATCATTGTATAAATCATCATCATCATTGCTGTCATCATCGTTTTTAAATTAAAGCGTCTTGTATTATAAGTAATAAACCATATGTTAAATATTGTTGTCACCTCCGTCCTAGTCATATTTTCCCATATTTAGAGGTGGGTTGGATGGCCGAATGGTTAGAGTGTGCACGCTGTATCATAAGGTCTGTCATTGAGTCAACTGGCGTGGTTTCGATTCCTCGGTTGTATGTGACAAGGAGTAGGGTCGCCTGTCCAACCTCGTGGGTTTTCTCTGGGTCCTCTGGCTTCCTCCCAGTACTCCCACTGCTAAAGACCCCTATGAGCAAGCGAATTATTGAAGTAAAATTGAAACATACATTAGTCCCGAAATGACCTAGTTTGTGTCAAGTGGATGTTAAACCCCATCTCTCTCCCCACAATTAGATGTTGTTATTTCATACTGAAACCCCAGGTTGTCCGTTTCTAACAATATCATCTGTAATTCCCTGTGAAGCTCTTGGTATATCCATTATCATCCAATAATTTAGAAATTTTGTTGACATTCTAAAACTTTATGTGCATTGTTCAGAAAATAGCTTAGACTTCAACTGGCCTTTCTATATTAAGTGGCTACTTAGTATTGCGCTGGCTTGTTAACCAGTAGGCCCAGTATACTTCTATTAATGTTTAAAGTTCGCTTCCACCGATAGTCATATCGCAGACAAGTCGTCTTATTTGATTACGAGGGGATCACGTGGCAAAGTGGGTAAGACGCTGGCTCGCTAGCCTGGAGGTCGGGTGTTCGATCCCTGCATTGGACGAGAAAGTTCATCCAGATTTTCCGGTGTGGTTCCCCCTTGTCAGTGATGCAGAACGGAGGGCCTGACAAGGACAGCTGTCTAGTCATTCGGATGGGACGAAAAACTGAGGTCCCGTGTACACATTGGCGTGCACGTAAAAGATCCCTTGACAGTTGGAATTTGATATAAGAGTAGGCCGTAGTGCCACTGTCCTGGCAAAATTTCCCTCATAGCACCCTGTATGGCATATGCCCGTCTTCTTTAGCCCAGTTCGGAGCAGAACAGTAGGATGTTAAACCCCATTTCTTTTCATTTTCATTTCATTTATTTGATTATGCCTAGCGCAGACTGGGGTCTTTCTGTTGTGAGGAAACCGGAGAACAACCCGGAGTAAACCCACATGGTTGAGAAGGCATCCCTATTTTCAAGGCACATGTGCTCACACCAGGTATCAAAACCATGACTGCAAGCCAGTGTTGACCGGCCAGCCAGAGGTCGACAGCGCAACATTCTAGACCACTAGGCCATCCGAAATCCAGAATCCTACGGGTTCGATTCTGATGATGGTTACGAAAGTTGTATGGCATTATCCAGCTTTGTTTCAACCTGTCAGTTGTAGGATGAAGTCGAGGCTGGGATGGGAAAGCGGGTGCCGAGGTTCCATTTATAAGCTACCATTAGCACCACGTTGGAAAGGGCCATTTTCACATTTGATTTCAGGCTATAGAATATAATAATAATGACAGCGATAAACTTAATTGATGCATCTTTATCGTATTTTGCAAATCTTGAAACAAGACCAAAAGTAATGATATCTCGATTATCTAAATGGACGGCTGGAATAATTTATTAATTGGGAGTGAAGTCCAAAAGTATGACAAACTTCATATAGTAAATATGACAACCTTCATATAGTAAGATCCCTTTAATAATAACCTTCATATAGTAATATCGATTTGTGACACTATCCTGTGTCGCGGTACCAAAAAGGAATTAGCTGTGACACTATGGGGACAGATGATCGTCTAGGACCTGCTTGGACTTCACGTTGTTGGATCAATTAATTGACTCTGGACCACCGTTTATGTTGTTACTAAGTTTATCTAACGAATACAGCAAACTACAAAGGTCACACACACGAAACTACAATATCTATGATAGTTACTTTTTGAGTTATTAAATTATCCACGGTCTGAGTTTAATATCCTTTCTAACTCAGACCTAACGGCTTAAACGTGGCAAGAGCCACATACTTCTTGTTAGTTCTACATAAGGTTCGCACTAGGATGATGTGTTCGCCCTAGCCTCTAAGCCGAGGAAGCTAAAGGTATGTTCCCCCTGAGCTCCGAATGATTGTCTGAGGGTAAATCAAACCCGCTCTATAATATATAGAAAATGTAATGCGTCATCTATTAGGGCGGGACAATTACCATTTTGGGGTAAGTGTTTCATATAGGCACCGTTTAACGTCAACATTATTCTATTTAATTGGACTAATCCGTGCACGAGATGACTGGACGATAGTACCCTACTTTCCAGAAATGGATACTGACACAACTGGGGGTGAGTTAGTCTAAGTCTAGACTCTAAGTTAGTAGTAGGATAATTCAAGCTACTTCATTTCCCTAGTTTTCGTCACATTTCTATATTAAACAGAACACTTTTCTTAGACCTAAAATAACCCTATAGTGTTATATCTTTAATAATAACCTTCATATAGTAAGATTTTAACAAGGTATGGATTGTTTTTTGGGGTTTTTTTTATCGTGGCAACGTTTTCCAACTCACTCTACCATTTTTAGATTAAATCAACCCGTTCACATCTCCGGCATCCGATGCTCTAGAGAGTTGGTTATATAATATCCATGTTAATAAATGCCTAAATAATAATTTATTTAACACTTGAAGCAAAAATAAAAGCCTGCATTAGACAGACTCTTACATAATGCATCTTTATCAAGCAGAGCTAACCAAACTGTTGACAGGCAGCTTAAAGTAGCTACGTCTCCAACTCAATATCATCCAAAGTCTTCCACATTGAAACCACGAATTATTTGTCAATTTAAATCAACATTGATGTAATCTTATTGGGAAAAGATGGGCTTCTGATGTCCAATATCTAAGACAAAATAAACATTTTACCATTGATCGCGTACTTTTCAGCGCCATTTGTAACAATAGGGGAAAAGAAGGAACGAGGCTAGACATATTCCACAAGTCATGTGAAATGATGATGCCACATTTTGTCTGGATAGCATGCGCAATATACTGCAATAATCAGACGCTCGAGATTGCCATTCGATTGAGACTTCTGGCTATTTCGCCGAACATAACGGATTTGAAATTAGAGTAAAAATGGAAAAGAATGAATGTAAATCAGTATATATACATTCAGATTACATTATTATATGCGTTGCAACCCATCTGTGTCAATTTCTAGATTCCAAATATTAGCGATTTAGCTCCTTTAAGTTTGGGATGGCTCGTTGGATTGTATGATCTACTAATGGGTCATAATTAATTTGACGTGGTTTTAATTCTCGGCTTGTGCGTGACAAGGAGTGGGGTCTCCTATGGGCAATCACATGTTAGTCTCGAACTGAGACCTTGTTTATGTTGAGTGGACGTTAAACCTCACCTCTCTCCCCCCCCCCCCTCTATCCTCCCCCTCTCTCTCACTCTCTGTCTGTCCGTCTCTCTCTCTCTCTCTCTCTCTCTTACCTGGATGGTACAGAAAAGTAGGACGTTAAACCCCATTGTATTGATTTCCTTGCCTGTATTATCTTCACTGCTATTGAATTTTCACTCAATGAACCCAACTGTTTATAATAAATATAAACTTGTGATGGAGTGACGTAATTCTCATTTTTTATCTGCTAACATATCGTGCATTAGGTCAACTTGTGGTTTATTGTATATGGGGGAGCCACGGTGGATAGTTGGTTAAGACGCTGGCTCGCTAGCCTGGAGGTCGGGTGTTCGATCCCTGCATTGACCGTAAAGTTCAACTGGATTTTCCGATGTGGTTTCCCCTTGTCAGTGGTGCAGAACGGAGGGCCTGACAAGGACAGCTGTCTAGTCCTTCGGATGAGACGAAAAACCGAGGTCCCGTGTATACATTGGAATGCACGTAAAAGATCCCTTGGCAGTTGGAATTCGATATAAGAGTAGGCGATAGTGCCGCTGCCCGGGCAAAATTTCCCTCATAGCACACTGTATGGCGTATGCTCGTCTTCATTAGCCCAGTATAGGAGCAGAACAGTAGGACGTTAAACCCCATTTCATTTCATTTCATTTATTGTATATGCAAGGTGTATACCTCTATTTTTGGAACCTAACAATGGCTCTAAAATTACATATTGATATAATATAGTGTTTCATACTTACACTGTCAAGGACAGAGTCGCTTTGTAAGTAAACGACGCCCCTATATAATAAACAAATAAACTGGAATAAATTAGGGTTTGATGTCTAACTGACCTACCTGACCTATTTAATGAAGACGGGGTGAACCACAAAGTCTGTGACCCAGTTTTTGAAAGCTAAAAAGTTTTCTTTTATCTTTTATTAAACAAATGTCAAATCTGATTCAAAGTTAATCTGACATTCAGGAGCGAGTCTATTTCTATTAAGCTAATGGAATGAAATGAAATGGGGTTCAACAGCCTACTTTACTGTGCCGTTTGGGCTAATGAAGTGTGCGAGGAGGGGAATTTGACCCGAACAGCGGCGCTACGACCTACTCTTATTTAGAATTCCAACTGTCAATTGGGGTTCCTTTACATGCACCGAATCTCGTTTTTTGTCCCATCCCAACATATGCTGGTCTCGAAATGACCTAGTTTGTGTCGAGTGGACGTTAAACCCCATTTCTCTCTCTCTCTCTCTCTCTCTCTCTCTCTCTCTCTCTCTCTCTTCTTACTCACTGAATCACCGCGGCCCTATATTTAACTAGCTAGTCTGTTATTTTTATAACAGAAGTGCATATTTTTGTTGAGTCATCAGGTCTTTGTCCGCTAATATAAATATTGACATGTCTTTATGAAAGGAATCTCTATTATGTCGCCGTAACCAGAATTATTGACTATCCTTGACGTACAGGTGATAAAGGTATTTATCCAGGTATGAACTACTGGTCTGCTCTATATACAGGTATAATTTGATATCCAGGTGAATCAGTATATTTACGTCTCGTGATATATATATATATATATATGTGTCAAAACACGGTCGTCTCGCACTCGATAACTTTAAATTTAGACCTTTATTAACATGACAAGCCTATAATCAAATCCCTAGCTATTCGGGAGAGAGAGTGAGAG